ATTATTTACACAAGCAGGAATAAAGCCATCAACTGAACCCCTGCCTGTGTCTGTGTTTATCCACATGGAAAAATCTATAACCCCCTCATGTATTCTTGCCATAGAAAGGCTGCATTTACCCTGATATTTGAACATCATTCTTTTCAAACGCTGTTTACATTTTTAGGGCAAATTTAGTTCATAGCACACCAACCATGAATAGTTTGGGTTGAATTAGTCTTTTTGTGTTTATACATTAACAGTTTAATCAATTTCTGGATACTCAATAATTTAAAGGTGGTTTGTTTAGTGGGTTGTTTAGATAACTGGCCTAAATCATTCAGAATCAAATTTTTAGTTCGTATGCATGGGAATTAGTAAATAAAATCCTATATACAGTAGCCTGTATGTCTATAAAAATCTTTTATGGACTACATCTATAGGTTTATAGGCATAAGACGCTTTATTTCATAAACGTATATAACACCTGGTTTAGTCTGGTATTTTCAGGTACGGCTATTTATTTTAAGACCAATTAGTTGATGGATGTCATAAAGGCATTATCATGGGCGCTTACGTCCCCCTTGTGGTGCCAATGTGCAACTACATCTGTCTAACGGTGTCTAACATTACTAACCATATGGACTTGACGCAGTGTATATTTAGTCATGACTGGATTAGTCTACCGAGGCCCCACTGAACAGACACAATCAAACATTTTTACCCCATATTATCCAGCTTAATGATTTTTTAAAGTAGCTAATTAAAACGTGCTGCAGCTGATATGTTTAATTCTTTTCACTTCAAAAATCAATAGTTTGGCCTTGTTAACTGGGCGGCTTGAAACATCTTTTCTATTAATTTTTTGAGTCGTCCTTTAGCGATTGCCAGTTTGGTTAGCCTGTCACTGAGCCTGTACTTGGTTAGATTCTGTTTATGCTTTTTATTTCTGACAGTAAAGAAGTAGCCCACTCTGCCATTACAGCCACATAACATTCTGATCTACAGTGCCTTGCGAAAGTATTCGGCCCCCTTGAACTTTGCGACCTTTTGCCACATTTCAGGCTTCAAACATAAAGATATAAAACTGTAATTTTTTGTGAAGAATCAACAACAAGTGGGACACAATCATGAAGTGGAACAAAATTTATTGGATATTTCAAACTTTTTTAACAAATAAAAAACTGAAAAATTGGGCGTGCAAAATTATTCAGCCCCCTTAAGTTAATACTTTGTAGCGCCACCTTTTGCTGCGATTACAGCTGTAAGTCGCTTGGGGTATGTCT